TACCAGGGTGAAGCGGCCGGGGCGTGAAGCTCACCACTCACCTCCAACTATTGCCGAGGTGAAGAAAACGTGGATCTATACATCTACTCCCCAATACGTCTTCATGGCGTAGTGCTTAATTAGTTAAGTACAGGGACAACTTTACTGTCTTATACAAGGAAATGAAAACGCATCAATTTCAAGCAATACGTGGGACAGTGAATATTAAGAAAAGAAAGAGAGAATTGTACAGGGTGATTTAACTTGGAGGATGCCCCGAATTAATAAATATAAACCACTGAATGTAACGGTTAAAACGAAACTTGGTAACACCATGTATTTACTTTCCAACGGTGTTTCGGTGCCTGTCGCCTCATTACCTTCACATAGTTATCCCTCCTGCTGTGTTGGTTGCAGCATTTGGAAACACGCAGCGCCGTGTCCTGTCGACCTGTGTCTCCAAGGTGCTGTCATCTCTCAGATATCTCCATACCCACCAAGATATGTACTCGCCAAGTTTCGTTTTCGTCTGTAAGTATTGCGTGTCTTACAAGTATTGATTCGGAGGTTCCCCCGAGTGAATCACCCTGTATATAGTAATGACGCAATGACTTGGGCGCTGAGCTACAAAAGCGCAAGCAAAATTCAAGAGGCGGAAATGAAATTCTTAAGCAGTGCCGGAAGGAGGTACCAAATGAAGTGAAGATATGCGGAAAGAATTCCCTGTAGTTTCTCGTAATAATGGAATAGGTGACTATAGAAGAAAAGCGATGAATTCATCTGAGCAGAATGGAAAGCGGCAGACTGTCTAAGCGTGTGGTCAATACAAACCGAAGGATCACAGGTAGACCGTCTGAAAGACGGCTATGGAATTGGAGAAAGCAGGTGCCTAAGACGTGAAAAGAAGGTTGAAGGACATGAAGGAAAAATTGACCCATAAATATGAATTTTTGCCTTTCAAATCTTCTTTCAGTGTCTCTCAGCTACTCAAGAATTTTCTATAATTTTATGGAACCCAAACATTCATTACCGTGTTCACAAGAACCTGTCACTGGTCCCTACCCTGAGCCAGATCAATCCACCCTCTTCCACGCCGTCCTATCGCTCAAAGATCTATTTTAATATTGTCCCCCACCTACGTCTAGGCCTTTCTAGCGGTCTCTTCTGGCGTTCCCACTACAACCGTATATTAAATCCCCTTCCCCTCATGCGTGCTACATGCCTTGTCCATCCAATCCTTTGCCTTGATTAGTGTAATTGACGATCAATATAACATATTTTAGCCTATTTATATTGCACTGAACACAAGGCTTAAACAACTGTTACAGGAGATACTGGAAACGGCCGCCGTTGTTCAGAACACATTCATCTGTATTCCTGAACATGTTCCGAGAAACACGTGCCGATGGCATGTTCAGTGTCCGCTTTCCGCAGTACGCTTCTTGGAACGTTTTGGAACATGTACTTTTTAAGGGAACCCCCACAGGAAAGACGGCGGGTGTTAGATCCGGAGATCTGAGTGCCACAGCCCTTAGAAATGACCCTAGCTCCGAAAAAGTCCTTGATCATATGCATCGTTATGCAGTTGGCTGAACCCAACGTTGTCTTACCTGAAATTCCAGTGAAAAGACTGAATAACGTGTTTCAGCAATAGTACAGTGAGGTGTATAGTGCAATGTTTTTTATCAGGATACAATTATAAATGGATCACCCTGTAATAGGACAGGAATAATAATAATATTAACAATAATAATAATAAGATTGGCCTGTAATGTTTTGAAAGAGTACTAGACGATACGATGTTCTGGAATACCGCTAATTTTCTGGTGTGATGCTAGTAATTTGTTCAGGCAATTAGCGTGTAGCACGCGAATTATCTTCAGGGACCGTGGCGTGCTCAGAGAAATGTGAAATAAAGATTCTGCATGGGTGAATGAGTGGGGCCCACTTATATATGTTTACAAAGCGAAGGAAACATACTGTATGCAATATGTGCCTTAGATCAGTACGCGGTTCTATTCAGAACGTAAGCAAGACAAGGCTTAAGCTTACAATGAATTTGACCCTTTAAAGCACAGTGGTGACTATATGTACCATATTTCCTTAAGAATTAAGAACTCCTCATTCTGCCCACACGATGTATTTGTGTGTACCATATGGTTCTCACAATAAACAGCGACTGTTTCCCTAAACAGCATTAAACGTTTGGGTTCTGTAGCGGAGACGTGATGTGTTTCCTGTGAGGTACACACTGAATTCTTATATATAGAGTCTCTGCATTCTGCCCACACAGTGTATTTGTGTGTTCCGTGTGATTCTCACAATAAACAGCGGCTGTTTCCCCAAACAGCATTAACCGGTTGGTTTCTGTAGCGGAGACGTGATGTGCTTCCTGTGAGGTACGGACTGAATTCTTATATATAAAGTCTCTGCATTCTACCCACACAGTGTATTTGTGTGTTCCATATGGATCTCACGATAAACAGCGACTGTTTCCCCAAACAGCATTAACCGGTTGGTTTCTGTAGCGGAGACGTGATGTGCTTCCTGTGAGGTACGGACTGAATTCTTATATATAAAGTCTCTGCATTCTGCCCGCACAGTGTATTTATGTGTTCCGTATGGCTCTCACAATAAGCAGGGACTGTTTCCCTATACAGCATTAACCGGTTGGTCTCTGTACCGGAGACGTGATGTGTTTCCTGTTTGGTACGGACTGAATTCTTATACATAAAGTCTCTGCATTCTGCCCACACAGTGTATATTTCGGACTAAGCACAATGACCATATTACATGCAGAGAGTTATTGCAGCGTTCTGGACAGTTCTTGATTTCAGATATACCGGTAAGCCTACATACCAGTGTGTGCTACTTGCATTTCTCGAGGCAGATTCTTCCGCGTCCTCGAGAGAGCTGGTTTATAGCAGTCTTGATGCATATAAATGGATGGGACCTCACAAGTTGAGTTGTTGTTCCACTTGGTGTCACTGTTCATCTGGAAGCAGCTAATTGAGCCAAATGAAACCTCCGTCACTTGATAACCTTTCAACATTATCCGGCTTAATAGAAGCGTGACCTAACGGCTTGCCATAGCGGTGACTGTCCGGAGGTGCTCGGTTCTAGTCTCAGCTGGGACACCAGCTGTCCTGACTCGATTTTTCGTCGTTTTTCTGAGTTTCTTGGGGCAGGGTCTCGGTTAGGGCACTGCCATCTCATTTAAAATCCGTAGGAATTCGGCATTCACCTCAACAGCCTACCATTCCACTCTTATCTATAGTGTAGCTACTGAGAGCGTCGTGAACCCCCCCCCCCAAAGGTTGCTCTGAAACTTTCAATTTTCATTATGTTTTTCCACCTTTCCTAAGTTTTTCCGCATTTCTTCCGCCTTTCCGTTTTTCAGACATCTTTCCGTTTATAAATGATTTGCTATAATTCATGCGTCTTTTCGCTTTTCGTACGTCTTTCCGTGTTTCTTTCGTCTCTCCGCTTTTTGTACGTCTTTCACACGTCTTCATTTTTGTGCCAGGTCCCGCTCTCACCTTCCCGTTCCTAACGGACGCCAATTCCGGCTCTGTATGTAGTACGTCCTGTGGCCGGAGCGGATGTTAGGCTGAATCGCTGTGTGTGTCAATGAAACCGTTTCAGAATCGCCCTTGTCTTGTTGGAGACGGGTTTCAAAATGTGTCCATTTAGATGCGACTTCTTTATAATAATATTTCAGCTGTGATCGCCTTTCTCCTTGAAACTTTCGCGCTGTCGCTTTACCGTGAAGAAAGTGGCTGGGTTTATGGCCCTCTCGCAACAGAAAGTTCAAATAAAATCGCGCAGTAGCTGCGCCACATCTGCCCTCGTGTAACTGAATGAAGAGTAGGGCTACGAATTAAGACGCTTCACTTTATATGTCGAGGAAACTGGAGAAAATTACTTAATGGGAAGCTTCGAAAGTTCTAATTTATGATGTAGAACAGATCTGCATGTAAAGTTTTGATTGGAAAACCTGAAAGGAAACCCCCTCTTGGAAGACCAAGACATAGATTGGAGGGCATAAAGAAGTAGGGTGGTATGGTGTGAATTGGATTAATCTCGTTCAGGATAGGGACAAGTGGCGAGGTCTTTTGAACACGGTAATGAACTTTCAGACTCAGTAAAATGCACGGAATTTCTTGACTCTAAAGCAGATAGCTTCTCAGGAAGGATTCCGCTCTGTAGTTCGTTTAATTGTAAGCAGGTGCTACGTACAGTAAACGCTGTCCTTATAGTGTTTAAGCCGTCCTAAACGTTCATGTGGATGGGAATTTAAACCTCAGTCTCTTTAGCATTAATGCGGCAGAGGTCGGGTTACTCTGTACGGTGTCTTTAACATCTTCGCAACGCGTCTTCATCGGGTGGTGATGTAGATCCTTACATCATCACCAGAAAACTACAAGATTTCGTTTTCAGCATAGAGTGGAACAAGAGTACCTATAGCGGGGATCTCGTTGAACACATAGGGACTTTTCTTCCGCAAGGTTGGCTACTCGAGTTATGACGCACACTCAGAGATAACTTAGGTAGGCAGTACGTCATCAGTTGCGTTTGGCACATGTACCTCCCGTCAGTATTATACGTAATGGCGCTAGATATAAAAATGTAAACCTGTCTCTGTAACAGGTCGGCGAGGCCCATACGGTTGTGAGACGTCGAGGCTCCCACATTTTCTAGACAATCGACTTGCAGATGGCGGTGAGGCTGTCAGCCTTACGCGACGGCCGCCCTTTACTCCCAGGAAAATTCCTGGTACTCATTTCTGTTAGAGGCTGAGTCGAACCCAGGGCCATAGTGCGGCTGGAAGGATTAGGTCAATTGAAAATTGCAATGACCTCTTCGGGAATCGAAACCGGCGACCTTCCTGCTTGTAGCATAGTGCCTGAACCAACTACACTACCGCGTTGCATAATGACGCTAGATAAAGAGTACAAATTAAGAAGCTGTTCGATAAGTATTTGTCTCAATATTTATGCCTTATCTGTTTCTGTTTTCAGGACTTGGCATTCATGTAGACGCCACACGGAAGCCAGGAGCTGCCGTGTCGCGGTTGTTGGTAAGTGGCTTGACGTCAAGTGCAGTGCACTTCACACCCGGGTCGCGAGAAGTCGCCTTTTGTACTTCTTTTGATAAGTGCTATTTTTATTGTACGATATTCTGATAGAGTTTGGGATACCAATGAAACTAGTTAGGTTGATTAAAATATGTTTAAAGGAAACGTATAGTAAAGTCCATGTAGGTAAACATTTGTCTGATAAATTTCCTATCCAGAATGGTCGAAAACAAGGAGATGCTTTATCGCCACCCCTTTTCAACTTTGCTTTAGAATATGCCATTAGGAAGATCCAGGGAAACCAGGTGGGACTGAAATTAAACGGAACACATCAGCTTTTGACCTATGCTGATGATGTGAATCTACTGGGTGATAATATAGATACCATAAAGAAAAACACACAAACTTTAATTGACGCAAGCAAAGAGGTTGGTCTAGAAGTAAACCCAGAGAAAACTAAGTATATGTTGCTATCTCGTGACCAAAATGCAGGGCAAAATAGTGACATAAAGATAGGAAACAGATGTTTTGAAAATGTGGCACAGTTCAGATATTTGGGAACAACAATAACAGATCGAAACCTGATTCAGGAGGAAATTAAGAGGAGACTGAACTCGGGTAATGCTTGCTACCATTCAGTCCAGAACCTTTTGTCTTTTCGTCTGCTGTCCAAAAACATAAAAATTAGAGCATACAAAATTATAATTTTGCCTTGGGTGTGAAACTTGGTCTCTGCATTAAGGGAGGAACACAGACTGAGGGTGTTAGAGAACAGGGTGTTGAGGAGAATATTTGGACCGAAGAGAGATGAAGTTACAGGAGGTCGGAGAAAACTGCATATTGTACTCTTCCCCAAGTATAATTAGAATGATCAAGTGAAGGGGGATGAGATGGGCAGGGAATATAGAACGAATGGGGAGAAGAAGAATGCATATAGGATATTGGTGGGAAAGCCAGATGGAAAGAGACCACCGGGAAGACGAAGGCGTAGGTGGGTGGTCAATATTAAAATGGAACTTAGAGAGATAGGATGGGATGGTATTGAATGGATTGATCTGCCTCAGGATAGGGACCGGTGGAGGGCTCTTGTGATCACGGTAATGAACCTTCGGGTTCCATAAAATGCTGGGAAATTCTTGAGTAGCTGTAGAATTGACGGCTCCTCCAGAAGGGCTTAGCTCCACGAGTAAGTAACAGGGTAAAGGTTAATATCGTGATGAAATCTCAGATAGGTTCTCAGCTTTGGAAAACTTAAAAGACACTGACATGGATATTAATTGATACTGGGGGCTTTTCCGCTGTGGGTAAAGCGGCAGGGTCGTCTAGTGTCTAGGTCAAGAAAGATTGAGCTATACTTCCACTCCCCCATATGTCTTCATGGCTGAGTGCTTAAGTACGCATAGTTAGGCTGAGGATAAGGCAGCAGGTATGTGTGTGCTATTGCAGGAAGCACGGCAGAGCTGTAGGTAGGCTCCCCAGGGGTCAGTGTCATGGCGCGAGCTACATTTCCGCCTTTGATCGTGACTGTAATTTGTATTATCGACTCTTACTGGCTGTGATGTCCGGTGGTCATCTTATTGCCCGGAGGCGGCCTACAGTTGAAACGCGAGTGTTGTCGTGTCGTCAGATATTGCGTGGCTGTCCGTTGCACCGCTAGGACGCTTACATTCCAACTTGTGCTGCTAGTGACCAGAAGGCTTCCTTCAGTTTCGGAATGGTGTATACCTGTACCATGATCAGGTTTTGAACGAGTGGCGTGTTTGCTAGTTCACTGTACCATCCGCGGTACCAGCCGCAAGGATTTTCGATTTTTGTTTAAAGTGTTTCTTTTTGTATTTTTCTGTGAAGGGAAGTGGAATACATTACTGCACAGCACGCACATCTGAATCCTCGGAAGTTAGTAGTGATTTTAAGAAATTGTAGATATTGTGTCTCAGGGAAGGTCTCAACTTGTGTGAAGTGACGCTGGTTCCCCCGTGTGTTGAAAGTAAAATCTGCTATTTGTAATGACCTCAGAACGAAGTACATGGCTGTATGATCATGGTGAAACCTCCAGTATGATTTAAATATGGTTTACGTTTGCACTGCAGACCTCCATGTAAAAGTAATATGTAGTTATCCTTGTGTGGGGCTCGCTGACAGGGGTTGTGCAAGGACAGACCTCTAAGGTGAACATCTATCTATCTATCTATCTGTATGTCTGTCTGTCTGCCTGCCCGCCCCTCACCTACCCACCTGCCTGCCTACCTACCTATCTATCTCTCTCTGTCTGTCTATTTGTCTATCTCTCTATCTTTAATTATAGAAATTGATTCTGCACTCGAGTCTTTCCACCGTGTGGATGTTGGCTGAGTTGCCGAACGTTTCGTAGATACATTCTGCTTCCATCTTCAGGGTCGAAGTGAGTACGGTGGGCGAGTGTTCATGTATATATAGATCTCGGGTCAGTAGGTCCACGGTGGGAAGGTGAGGGCTGGTGCCTGTTCCGGATGAATAGGGAAAGAGTTATCAGAAGGTCTTCCTTTACCCCGAAACGTCGGCAGCACTGCCCATGTCAGAGCGCTCGTCATGCCGTCGTGCCCATTGGAAACTTATGCACAGCTACGCTCAGTTACAATCAGAGGGTGGAAACAACAAACGACAGTGTTTCACTAGGAACTGCAGTGTGGACCTTTACCTTGGGACTGCTGATAGAAACGTTTTGGTAGGTGAGCCAGGTAACTTCAGAATTTATCTCCAAGAACAAGTCTACAAGGTCGGGCTTTTGGATTTGTTTTTAGAAATAAATATCTAAGAACCCTGTAAGGTTAGGCTTAGGGGTTTGCTTTCCAGATAAGCTTTTACAGTTGGCAGCGCAAACTCAATGGAGCTGAGTCCTCTTTGAATATCTGCTAGACGCTTAACTACTCAAGAATTTCCCAACATTTTATGGAACCAGAAGGTTCACCACCGCGTTCACAAGAGCTCTCCACTGATCCCTGTCCTTAGCCAGATGAATTCAGTCCCATACCATCCCATCTGATTCCTCTGAGATCCGTTTTAATATTGTCATCCCACCTACGTCTTGGTCTTCCTAGTGGTCTCTTTCCTTCTGGATTCCCCACCAAAGCCTATTATTATTATTATTATTATTATTATTATTATTATATCAAGCTGTCGTTCCTTAACTTTCCCAAGTTCACAGCGTGCATATTCAGTGAAATGTGAATACAGAGTGTCCCTGAAGGGCGGTAATGTGAAAGTGTGGACCAGTAGAAGGGTTATTCGTGGGAACTGTTCAACATTACCGTTGAATTTTCGACGGACAGTCCACTGCTCATTACGTAAAATTTACAGAAAGTTGTGTTGTGTGCTGAAGGAATTTCCTGTTTAATTTGCAGCTGTTAAAACACAGCTCTGTGTATAGATGTCACTCCTGTCGTATTTACATTACTAAAGAGAGGCGAACATTTTGTAAGCAGTTTCGTGTTTTGTGTTGAAAGAGAAAGACATTTCCGTAGCCTCCATTGCATCCTCATAACACAGAACCTCACCTACCGCCAGATGTAGCTCAGTCAACATAGTGACTAGGCTACGGGCTGGACGGCCGAAGCATCGCATTTCGATTTCCATCGTGGGTAAGAAATTTTTTCTCTTTTCCGCGTCTTCCAGACTGGTTCTAGGGCCCACCCAGTGTCCTATCTAATCGGTTGGGGGGGGGGCTTCTTCCTGCCTGTGCGTGAAGGTGATCACTCACCTCAACCTAGTGCTGAGGTTAGAAATGGCGGAGCTGTACCTCAACTTCATCAACCTCTTCACCGTTGATGCATAATTAATTAACCACAGTGACAGCTTTGCTTTTAATACTAAATCTAATTAGTATAAGCCAAAATTGCTAGACCGGCATCTTAACATTTCATAGAATTAATTTATTTTTGAATCTACCTTGATCCGTTTTCATTTTCAGCCCTTTAAAACACATTGGTATTATGCGTTCTGTATATTTTACAATAAAAATAAACTGTTTTTTCAATAGATATTACTTTTGTGTGTTCCGTATGATTCTCACAATAAACAGTGACGGTTCCCCCAAACAGCATTAACCGGTTGGTCTCTGTAGGGGAGACGTAATGTGGTTCCTGTGAGGTACGGACTGAATTCTTATATATAAAGTCTCTGCATTCTGCCCACAGAGTCTATTTATGTGTTCCATATGGTTCTCACAATAAACAGCGACTCTTTCCCGAAACAACATTAACCGGGTAGTCTTTGTTAGTATCGCGATATATGTCTGTCCACGCGGGACAACCAGAAAATTACTGTGTACTCTCTGCTGGGATATAACGCCGTGTATTCCGTTGGAAGTCAACCGACGATTCGTAGGAACGTATCCCCACCGTCGAAGAATAAGCCGAGCAAGAAACCAGCGTGAAAGCACCTTGCCACCTGTTTTCACGCTGGTTTCTTGCTCTGCCTATTCTCAGACCCTACATGTTCCCCTTAAACGTCGGTTGACTTTCAACGGAATACACGGCGCTATATCCCTCAGATCCATATACAAATCAGAGACCAGTTCAGCTGATTTTAACTGAAATTGAATATTTGGAAGATTAACAAAAATGTATTGACATATTCCGATGTTGGATTTAATCGGTTAATTAAGAATAACGGACACTTCACATGAAGTCCTACACGCGTTTCTGCACGTTTGTTGAGTGCAGCTTGCTTGCTGCATCTCTATCGGAGCGAGAAATGTTTCTCAGAATGGCTGTATAGAGACATGAAACACCTGTCTTATATCCAATACACGTTTTCCGTACGCCGTACGGGTTTCCGAACTAATTAATGGTGAGGTCACCCGACCGTCACATTTCCGTAAGTATGAACTTGTAAGAATGTGGGGATTGCAGCTTAAAGAAGAAAAGGCAAAGCTATCCCTGTAACAGGCCGTGTGAGACGCCGAGGCTCCCTCATTTTCTAGACAATCGGCTCACAGATGGCGGTGAGGTCAGCCTTACGCGCCG